AACAGCTTGAAGCTGTCTCAAAAAACAGGCAGCACCTGTGGCTCAGTGGGTAGGGTGCCAGCCCCATATACCGAGGGTGGTGGGTTCAAACCTGGCCTCAGCCAAACTGCAGCAAAAAAATAGCCAGCCATTGTAGGAGGTGCCTGTAGTCCCAGCTACTTGGGAGGCTGAGGTGAGAGAATCACCTAAGCCCAAGTTGGAGGTTGCTGTGAGCTGTGTGATGCCACAACACTGTGCCAAGGGCAATAAAGTGAGGCTCTGTCTCTACCAAAAAAAAAAAAAAAAAAAACAAGTAGTTCATCTGTGACTCTTTCAGTTATCCAAGATTTGTTAAGCTTTTTCAGGGAACAGGGAACTACACCTGAAAGGTCACAGACCCTGACATTGACCTGAACTTATCCTTTCACCTCTGCATAGATTTGGTGATAAAACCAAATGAGGTAGGATATGCCCCATTTGGCTTATTGATGCTGTCTAGTTGTCCGCGGCAACTTGATCAACGTGACTGTATAAAACAGACAGACAGACGTAGACAGACCAAGATCAGGTGTACTCTTTCTTAAGACAAAACACAAGCTGTAGTTTGGTATTTCTAACAAAAAAAAAAGCCTCTGCCACAGAAATTAAACTTGTTAAGTTTTCAGAAGAAAACATTTTCAATAACATGGATAAAGCTATGCAAAGATTCTGGAAGGAAGACAAAACACCAAAGATGAAACCTGGCCTAGGAGAACATATGCCCAGAGAAGAAGCTAGCAGACAGCAAGTCACTAGCAGGTAGAGCAGATCCAACAGACTGGACTTCTCTAGCAACATACTCCTGAAATATACTAAATCTGAAATACAGAACAGCTTATAAATTTACTTTGAAAAAAGATTAAAATGCTCTAATACCACTAGTATACATAAAACTAGTGCCTTAATTTGAGATTTGAATGTTCTAATATCACAGAAAATTTTATACTAAGAAACTTACAGCATCAAACTCCGTAAAAAATGACTCAGGTTTCTTTTCTATATCCTCAGTGTCCACCTTCACATCCACCATGGGGTTGAGATTCTGGGCTCTCTCTAAAGAGGCTTCAGCTCTATTTCGGCCAACACACCCAGTACGAATCAGGAACTGAGCTCCAGGATCTTCTGGCAATACCTAGGAATAAAATTTTTTTCATTCTTGAATATTTTGGGAAAGTAAACCTCCAAAACAGCCTCTAAATTGTTAAGGATAGCTGAAATAACTACCATCTTATTTTATTACTATCCCTCCTCCTCTGCAATGTGCCTAATTTAGGCTTCCTTCAGAGACTTTAAAACATGACATTTGGGAGGCGCCTGTGGCTCAAAAGGGTAGGGCGCGGCTCTATATGCCTGAGGTGGCAGGTTCAAACCCAGCCCTGGCCAAAAAAAATACATGACATTTACTGTAACTTCTTTTACTGGTCTCTAACTGTTAAACAGCACCCCCTTGTGTTTATGGAAAATAATTCATTCTAAACAGAAAAGTCCAGACTTTCCTCTTCCACTTAAATTTGTAACAGCTAACAAATGACTGTTTATCAGTGGTAGGAATTGACTAAATACCTACTATTTGCCCATCCCTAAGCACACCAGCATTACCAATCCAGTGCAAAAATCCGAACAATTAAGGATGCTTAAAATGAATGTATTTAAAAAATTCTTTTTAGGCTTGGTGCCCATAGCTCAGTGAGTAGAGCACCAGCCACATACAAGAAGGCTGGTGGGTTTGAGCCTGGCCCAGACCTGCAAAAAAACAATGACAAATGCAACCAAAAATAAACAGCCAGTGTTATGGCGGGCGCCTGTAGTCCCAGCTACTTGGGAGTTTGAGGCAAGAAACTCACTTGATCAGAAGAATTTAAGGTTGCTGTGAGCTCTGACACCAGGGCACCCTACCAAGGGGCACGTAGCGAGACTGTCTTAAAAAATTATAATAACAGGCTCAGCGCCCGTGGCTCAAGTGGCTAAGGTGCCAGCCA